TTGATATCAATTTCGATTTCCACACATGAATACATGTGAGAACCGATGTACTACTAACATATTCAAGTTATACCGAGATAAAAATCATTCTTTTGTTTTTTAAAATATGAGGTTGGTTTGGTTACATAACTTTGGATATTTGAACAAACAACAAACACACATATTGTCAGTTAACTATTATATGTCACCAAAACTACATTAGAAACAAGTTTGGATGTTCCTTAAGAAATAGCATCCCATTAATTATTTTAATTATTCAAGTAACACGTTCCGCGGGTTAGGTATGTCATTTACAACCACAATTTGATAACAGTAGAGTCAGCTTGACGTCAGCCTCAGTTATGTAGTGAATCATATGTCCAGTATGTACATATACTAATCTATCGTAACAGGATGGCTACAACTTAAACTGGATAATCGAGGGTTGGTGCAACAACAGTCAGAGTTATGCTCACGTTATAAACTATATTTTACGTGCGGTTTCACTATTTGTTATCTGCTTGTATTGTGGGATGATAAGTAGCGTTATTAATAGACATTGTTGATGACTCTATCACCTGAGATGGTCGTGATGTTATCACTGTTACACACGATAAACTATCCCAAGATAATATGTCTGCCAGTTTGCAGAACATCATTATCTAAACAAACATGTATCATAATACTATAGACCACTGTCCCTGCAAATGTAGACAACGACTGGAGCATTGAGAAATTTACAAGTGTTTACGTGCGTTTCTTACATTCCACGATACTTGTACATAGAAATACATTCGCGAGTAGAGAGCGGGTGAGGGAGGAGAAACAGGGGGAGTGGGGCGGTCAGATGGCATTTCTAAAAACATATGTACAGTCACTCGGGGAGGGTAAAACACATATTTTCAAAGGGTAATAAAATAGTTGTCAACAAAACAACACATGAAAAGTGGTTCTGCACACTTAGGAGATAATTATCCTTATCTGTACTGAAGGCTACACCCACGAATGTATACTTAATTCTGTCCTTTAAAGAGGCAAGTCTAGATAAGCGGATAGTATCAGGATGCTAGTCTGTCAGATTTTTATATTGTTTAGAAATTATCGTTTAAACTATTAATTATTACCTTAGAGACTTGTGCAAGTCTAACTTATCCTATAAATCATGTGCTGTCCCGTATGTGTACTTGGCATTGAATTCCAGGTTTTTAATTACCATTTAATGGAGGGGTAGTGGGGAACCTGTGGGGAGTTTACTTTCAAATTACACATATTTTCCCAACATTACCATCCATAAACCAAAAAAAATTCTACCTTCACTTTTCTGGCAGCTGAGAAAGGAATGGAAATGTATACTTATTCGTGTTTCCGTAATCACAAACAAATATAATATTGCTTGAATCCAAACCCAAATCAAATCTGCAATGTCGACTTTGAAAACTGATAAATGCACCCGTAAAATCTCCGAAACCGCTCCGCGACCGAAGCAGTAGTCCGTAAATGAAACATCAGAGAACAATATAAACCTAATTAGTTCCTCCTCTGATTATAACATGTAAATAACGGATAAAGGCAGAACATCGTAAACTACCACACGTGTGTTGTGCCCTTAAACGCACAATGGTCTTAAGTGCACAGAAATCATAAATAAACATGAGTGGGCGGAGCTTATTTGACCACGTGATACGTGTTTCGTACGCACTACTTCTCTCTTGAACACGGAAGTGTCTTTACTTCTGCTGAGTCGTGTAAAGTTGAATAGCGTGTAATGAGAGTGCATTTTCCCCTACAACATAACAAAAACAGCATTTCCTTCCATACTACCATTTATAAATATTAAAGAAAATATAGCAATATTCAAATGTTTGTTAAAAGTTCGATCGAAAATTTGCAAGGGACCGTTCATAATGTATAGCTAGGCTGGGATCGAGTGATGATGATTTTTATGGAGAAGCACGTACAATGTGAATAACAGTTCCACCCCACCCCTCTTCCTTCATGAAAACACCAAGTGCATGTATTCAAAATTGATGACACCCCTCCTCTCTCTCCCCCTCTCCCTCTCTCTCTCAGGTATGTATCATTGTCTCAAAGAGTTTGACAGAGGAAGGGATTGTTATGTGTCACCCACATTCTTAATGATTGTTGATCAATCTGTCAAGTCATAATTGCACTTTACTTTAATCAATCAGTACATTCATAAACTGTAGAATAAATAAAATATAATACATCTTAAGTCATGACAGAGCCTGTTTTGTTACCACTATGCACACAGGGTGAGTGTGTAACTTTAGAAAATTTGAGAGAGTGTGAATTCTACTCTTTTAGGTGGGGTGGGGGTAGCCTAGTGGTTAAAGTGTTCTCGTCATGCCAAAGGCGGTTCGATTCCCCACATCGGTACAATGTTTCAAGTCCATTTCTGGTGTCTTCGCCATAATATTGGAATATTTCTAAAAGTGGTGTAAACCCATACTCAGTCTTTTAGCAGGGTGGAGGGTTGTCTGCAGGTCTTCCCTGAATTTGGTGTTTGGTAATCAATTCTTGAGGTTATGTGCCATGTTCTTTATCAATAAGGCCAGACCATTGTATTTCTTGTTTTACATATTTTTGTCCTCAGAAGAATTTCTTGTAAGTTTACATTTTGACCAATAAAAACATTAGGATTTTTATTTTTGGTGAGGGAAAATTCACTTTTATTTCTTTTAAGTATTCTTGAAAAAATACAACTGGAGGATACGTAAAACAAGAAATAGAATTGGTCTGGTCTAAATTTGAAATATAGGTGTGCTTATACAGCATGCATGAGAAGCAATGTGTACAGGACACCTTTAGCACAGTTTACTAAAGGTAAAAGATGCAAATGTGTTATGTGATTTTTAAGATATCAGAAGTTTAAACATTTTGGACATCTTTGAAATAGTGTGAAATGAGAGATAGTTGGTTATGATGCCTCTATCAGTATTATACCAGTCACATCCCAATCAAGGGCATCAACTTTATATATTTGCATTGGGGTAGGGAGTCAAACCAATGCCTGTGGCGTCACATAAGTTTATGCAGCTGAACATAGACAAGCATGTGCAAGGTGAACATGTCACAGTGGAAATTTTCTGTCCAAGTATAGACATCCATCAAATCCTGCATGGTGTTAGTTGTTTGTGTATTCACAAATGTTGTAGAGCATCAACTGAGCAGATAAAACTGACCATTGTCAGATTTCCCCATAAAATGACAAAAAGAAATGAGTTTTGTTAAAGATGTTTTATTGCTAAAATACAAGAGCAGCCTGTCTTGAAATGGGACAGAGCAAGAAGAATACTATGAAATGTAATTATATGTAGTACCCGAACTCATTAAGTTGGTTCACACACATATCTTTATGTCTGTTGAAAGACTCTTACAAACAATTGAAGTAATGTCATTGGCTCACCAGCGTGAAATGTGTAAATCGTGGAGGTTACATGTATGGCATTGAACATTACACCCATCATATTTGTGAAAATATAAACTAGTAAACAAACCAAGGTAACTATTTGAAAATATTTTCATAAACAGAAGCATCCCCTACACCCCATTCCTTAAAGTATTTTCAAGTGTTACAAGAATAATTTCAAACCATACAACTGATTAAAATCCAACAATAACCAAGTCTATGATATAAATACAAAGTATTACAGTCACATTTCACAAAATGTTAAGCTCATCACCCAGAAGACCCTGTTTTGATTCCCCACATGGGTACAGCCCATTTCTGGTGTCCCCGTCATTGATATTGCTGGAATATTGCTAAAAGTGGTGTAAAACCATACTCACTCACAATCACCTCAAATGTCACCTTGAATGTTGACATAGCACTAACATTAAACATGGCAGTAATTATAACCAGACATGAAAATAAGGAATACCTTGCATCATATATGAGTAATAATAAGTGAAACATGTTTTACAGCTACATGAACACTGACATCAACTTTAATGATCATGACCAAAACCTTCAAAGAACAGGGTATCCATTTGAAGAAGAAGGCACATGTCATGTTTAATTATGCATGTGTGAATTCCTTCTTAGAACCTGTGTTGTCTTGTGACATGAACATTTTACCAAAACAATTCCCGGGACTAATGAAGAATAATCTCATTAAATTAATCTTTGTGTTGTAGTCATTCACGGAAACAACACTGTTTCACTGGGCTGCACATCTTGTTTATAAATTATTACCTTTATCAAATGATTTGGTATGAACTCATGATAGGTAACTACATTTCACAAAATGTCCTCCAGAAACAAAATATGGCAAAATCTGGAGCAACAAAAGGCTGACAAAGCTGAATATTTCAAGATGGGGTAATTTTCTTTTTCTAAGACTAACAGCATACACATTAAATATTTAGATGTAACATCACATGTCAGACATTATTCACATATCATGAATTACACATATAAAACTTTCTTCGTTCTCGCAAAGGGCAACAGTTTTACATGCCTTCCATGGCAGACATGCAGAGACTTAGTTGCCAGTATGTCCAGCCTTAATTAAGTACTAACTATCACAAAAGTAATATAACAGCCAGTATCATGAAATACAAGAAATATGGCATAACTTTACTATTCCATTGTTTACTACATGCCACATATACTAATATCAAACCATCAAACTATATCAAATCATACTTATAAATCACATTGTCATGCAGTGTAAAAAAAATGTCACTGGAAAGGTGGTCCAATTGTTCAGCAGGACAATAAGCACAAATGGGGAACAGAAAAGCACAAAATGTTTGTGAGGGAAAATTAATGGAAACTTCTGTTCTGCTGGCAAAATAAATAAAAATTCTTGCTGAGACTATTTTACTGCTTCAAAACAGAAGTTCCTTAATTTGTCTCCATTATGGAGGTGTTACTCAGCTGACATCAGAATGCCAGAACAATTATCAAAATACATCAAACAAATCTGTAAACTGCATAATGAATGCACTTGAATCATTCCTGTAGTCCATCAAGATAACTGTCATCACTTGTGGAGTCTACAGTGATGGGGACACCTCTTCCTGGTACTTGGTCAGCATCATATTCTGTTGATTTGCATTCCGGTTAACCTCTCGAGGTAATATGTGGCTGCTCTGAAGTACAAAAAGATAGAAGTGTTTTTATTTATATTGAACAATTTTTTATGGATAACAACTTCTTTTAAGTGTGGCGTTTTGATAAGATTCTTGTACCATTCTTGACGAATGCTTGGACAAAGGTGAACTACCATACATGTATATCATGTACCTGCATCACAATATTTGGTCATATTTGGGAAACTGTGTTATACATCAGCGAGATACATTAACTCAGTTAATGTTTTATGCTTGTTAAAAATAGCAACAGTCAGTTTCAATGAGATAATAATAGCATTAGCAAGCTAATTTTCTTTTGGCAGTACAAACTTAAGTCCAACAAAAATCAAAGGGGGAGGGAGAGAGTTTGATGATTTTTATGGAGAAGCATGTACAATCTGAGTAAATTAAAATTTATGTACAAAGTGACCCCCTCCCATGTACAAATACAATTATGCCCCCCCCTCCACATTAATTTGTATATTTATAATTTAAATATAATTATGTACAAAATTGCTGCCCTTCCGGTACATGTGTACAAAATTCCACGACTACCCTACCTCCCAGAGAAAGCGGGTGACCCCTCCCTTAAAATCATCACCACCCCACCCCTCAAAGAGTGAAATTAATCAATCAATCAATCAATCAATCAATCAATATTAATAAATAAATAAATAAATAAATAAACATCTGTGCATAAAACAAGCACCACCCTCTATTTCTACCAATTAATTTTGTCTGAAATAAAATTCTCAACTCTTTCCAAAAATAACCTTTATGATTTGATAGAGCAAGCATTTAACATTTCAAAAGCAGAAAACATCATTGAATTTTGATGAGGATAATTGCCCATATTAAAAACAGGTGTTTTGAAAAGTGAAAGTAATAATTGATTGTTGTGTGGCCTATACATTCGTTATTTATTGTGAATGGATGAAAGTTTGTAAACTAAGATTTAGGAAAAGTTACAGTCAAACTAAAAAAGGCAAATTTTAGAATGCATTAAAAGTTGCTTTACAAACAAAACAAACAGATTTTAGCTGTAATTATCAGTATCCGGCAAGGGAAGTGTTTATTCATTACAATAAACTCAAAATCATAACACATTTATTCCAAAATCTTATTAATGTGGCCTTTTCAGATTTTGTCAAGTAGCAATCTGAATTGTTGGAAAAATGTCTGAATCTTTGACATTCGGGTTCTTCCTGATTATGCGTAATTAAAAGCTTACTTGATGTGTAAATGTCATCTTGGTATATAACAGAATTGTTATTCTTAGTCAAAAGCGTAATTCAATTGTGTAGTTTGAGCAGGAGAGGAATAATTATTTTGGGTAAAATTTCAGTCCAATCACATTTTAATCAACATATTCTTTCATAAAAATAGAAAAGGTTATGGTATCTGTAAAACTGTCAGTGGATAAAGCTTTTTTTTTTTTTAACTAAAGGTTGATTAAATTGATGGCTATACCCTAACTTTTCTGAAGCATCACATTTTATTTTCAAAATAGGGTGGTGCCTTATTAATGCACAGGGGTATAAATGCATAAATAAATGCATAAATAAATGCATAAATAAATGCATAAATAAATAAATAAATAAATAAATAAATAAATAAATACAAACAAAATAATAAATAAATAAAATAAATAAATAAAATAAATAAATAAATAAATAAATAAATAAATAAATAAATAAATAAATAAATAAATAAATAAATAAATAAATAAATAAATAAATAAATAAATAAATAACAAACAAACAAACAAAAGCCATAAATAATGAACATTCCCTTAAATGGACATTACATTACCCTAATTTTTCTGAAGCATCACAATGAATAAATAAATAAATAAATAAAAGATAAATAAAAAAATAAATAAATAATAAAAAAATAAAATGTAACAAAAGCCATAAATAATGAACGTTCCCTTAAACGGACATTACATTACCCTACCTTTTCTGAAGCATCACAATGAATGAATGAATAAACAAACAAACACACAAACACACACACACACACATACATACATACATAAATAAATACATAAAAATAAAATAAAATAAATAAAAAAACCCAATGTAACAAAAGCCATAAATAATGAGCGTTCACTTAAGCGGACATTACATATCCACTTTTTCTATTCTGCACCAAGATGTAACATGTTGCATCGTTACACTGTTACAAAACAAAACATTCATGTTTCTTTTACAAATGTTTCAAGACTGATCTCATTTTGGTGGTTTTGAGACAGTGCAATAGATATGCAGTTAGCTGCCCTTCTTGTTCAAAATTTCAAGATCACAAAATGAGGCCTATAGCTCCAGTTCTTTTACAGTTTGTACCTTCTAGTATTCCCCCCTCCCCATACACATTTTCATGAGTATCACAAATATTCTTCAATGTATGTACAAATGTAGCATTTATCAACTGAGACAATAAACCATTTCAGAAAAATGAATGACGTGAGAAAATGCCATATCTGAAGCCAAATGAGAAACTGACACAACCTCATACTTAGCATTTGCATACCAAATTATGATTCATCTTGACTTTATTAGTCCCATATACTATACCCATCAGCTAATACCTTTCTTGGTGTCATCACATCTACTCTTCTTTGGAGTCTGTTCTCCCCTTCCTGAAAAGTAAAATTATTTATCACCAAGTGCAAACATGTTCCTTTAGCATAAAGGAATGCTTACCATTATGATATTTCTTAAAAGTGTCTCAAATTGTAATAACCTTTTTGTCATGGGTTTCTCCTTCTTTTGCATCTGGCAATGAGTCTGTTAAGACAATACATGTGAAAAAATATGATATTTTACCTACTTTGGTACAAATCAGGCATCAGCAATGTTTTCATTTCAGAGGTACATATAAGAGTGAGTAGGTGAGTTAAGTTTTCACGCCATACTCAGCACTATTCCAGCTATATGGCAGCAGTCTCTGAATAATCGAGTCTGTACAAGACAAACCAGTGATCAACAGCATGAGCATCGATCTACCCAATTGGGATAAGATGGCGTGTCAACCAAGTCAACAAACCTGACCACCTGATCCTGTTAATTAAGCCTCTTCACGACAAGCATGGGTTACTGAAGATCAACTCTAACCCTTATCTTCATGGGTTCATATAAGAGTGGATCATTGTAAATGGATTAAAATGTACTGTTTCTTTGTTGGCTCTAGAAATTGCTAAATATCAACAAATGCTTCATCACATACTCTAAACGAATTACCTCTTGCATTTAGGCACTATATACCATCCATACCTGTGCTGACCATGAACTTGTTTAAACAGTGATGATTTTATTTACCACTAAGTTACCATCAACCAATGCTCATCCAGTGACATAAAAATCAGTCGAGTGCAATTTTTTATTAGAAATTTACCTATGACCCTGTCATAATTTTGTGGGTTTTTTTAGGTGTGTGTGTGTGTGTGTGTGTGTGTGTGTGTGTGTGTGTGTGTGTGTGTGTTTGTTTGTGTGTTTGTTTGTTTGTGTGTTTGTTTGTGTGTGTTATATTCCTATTTGAAATCTATGGCAATAACACATTCTCTAAATAAAACAACTATTTGACACAATCCAGCTTGATCATATAACCTTAGGAACATTGATAAGAAAGGTTACTGTCATAAAACATTAGCCCTCTCAAAAGTAGTACATATTTTAAGCTCATTGCCTAATCCTCCAGATGGCTTTAGCAAAGTTTCTTGAAAGATATTTTCAAATTCATTTGGAATGGTAATAATGATATAATAAAAGAATCACAATGAAAAGATTAAAAGGCTGAAGGGGACTGGGTATGGTTGATATAAAACATTTATTGAAGCTCTAAAATTATCCCACTCTTAGACAATAATTACTGTAAAAAATCATCCGACAATAATCCTTTCAATATACCTTATAATGATATCTTCAAGTATGGAGCAAATATTCACAAAATACTTAACATTGAAAACCCTTATTGGAAAGATGTTTAAAAGCATGGAACAATTACTGCAAAAAGGTTAATGCCGATTCTGACAATACTGATCACATTCTTGCACAACCATTATGGCTCAATCATAATCATAAAAACACTTATATTAGACACTGGGCGTATAAGGGTTTATTGACAGTAAAAGATGTATGTGATGAGCATGGATTTATGCCTTTGATAAGTTAAAGATACAATACAAAATAAAGAGGGACACAATTAGACTATAACTATCTACTTCAAATCTGACCTGATATTTGGAAAAATGTTATTAAAAATACAGTTATCATTCCTTCCTACAATTCATATATCAATGTTTACCAAAAGAATTGAAAATTTTATAATAAATTGTATATTTATATACTTATCCTATCTCACGGTATGCACCATCTCTCTCTTCTCTGACCATGACCATGTGAGAAGCGTGCTGTCAGCTAAAGTTGAGTCAAATCTAACTGGCCTCTGATCCGCCCTGACCTCTGCCTGCACCCGACATCAATGCCTGTCAATCATCCATCAAAGCGTGCGGCTCACCTAAACGATCCACATGACCACCTCTACTTGTCATTCTCGTCTTGGAGCTTCCAGTAATCTGTGATGTGGGGCAGGTCGGGTGAATCCAACGTGTGAGATAGGACAAGTATATAAATATACAATTTATTATAAAATTTTCAAATTCCTAAACTTATCCTATCTCACGGTATGCATAATCCCACGGTTGGTAGGCGGGTTGCAGATTACCGGTTACTACTACCACCGGGGAAAAGCGCTTATATAACTCAAAGGAGGCCAGGAGAAAGCACCAACTCGATATGCAAACTCAAACTTGAGATGTTTTTGTTGTTTTGTGTGTTTTTCAGGTAACCCCTTGGCTTATACAGCACAAAACTCTAAGGAGTGGGCTCGAGTTAATGTGGTTTTCAGCCGCCAACTTTTGACAAGCAAAAAGGGCCTTAGTTTGGCAAGAGAGGCCCATACACCCAGCGATTTATCAGGTGACCCAGTGAATTAAAGTCCAGGACCTTAATCTGGACCCAGTCCCTGCTTCGAAAGTATCCCCCACAGACCTGCGCTGGAAGGCGGTGAAAAGAAGGAATAGCCTGGTTGCTCCAACTGGTTTAGCGTTCGAGTACCAATCTCCTAACTTACCAAAGGTGAGAAAGGACTTAGGAGCAGAGCGGCTTTGAAAACCACCATACAGGTGTCCGGGATCAACACTTCACTGGCGTGATTGCTCAAAGTAGTGGTCAGTAGCGGAATCATCAACCTTCTCTACATGTAGTACAGGACTTGCCTCATGAGTCTTCTGAGCCCGGCGTCAAAGAGGCCTAGGAGTTCCTGCCATTGGCCGGGCGTCCTGGCTAGCAGCTAGAGCTAGGGAGACCAACGCTGTATCTGCAGAAAGCGATCCGGGACAAACATTCTGTTGACCTGTGTGGCCGAAAACAGCTCCGATGAATTGAAGTGGCACATTGGGACTAGTTCGATTTCTGCAGATTGATTAACCATCCTAATTGGCAAAGAAGCTGTATACATAAACTTCATGTTGGCGAACCAGAAGGGCATGATCGTTCTGTGCCTGAATGCAGTGGAAGTGCGATGTAGGCTCGAACACTGTCCTCTTGCGATGAAGAAAACTGGTGATAAGCCCCGTTACCCGTGTAAAGCAACCCGGGGCGAAGAAATTCAAACTGGAGAACCATGCATTGATAGTGGATGTCACCGAAGATGAACCGAAAGGAATTTCGCGATCGCCAGGAATATGGGATGTGGAGGTAGGCATCCTGAAGATCCAAACTGACCATGCAGTCTCGGCTTGATAATTGTCTTGAGGAGTGCCACCGATATCGTAGTGAAAATGGCGGGGCTGCGAAATTTCGTTGAAAGTCTTCATGTTGAAGATTAATCTCAGTTTGTCGAATCTTCTTGGGCACCAGAAAGATTGGAGAATAGAACCCTGGATTGGTGGGGCGGACCCAGGGATTCCGATCATAAAGTTTCTTGAGTAAAGTGTTTATCGTTGATCACAGAACCAGCCGATTATTTGTTTGGGATCACGTTCTGCGATCGGAAGCATTGTGGCGGAGGTTTCCCGATGACTGGTAACTGGAATCCCTTGGTTAACATGGACAGGGCGTAAAGGGTCTCCCAAAATTGTCCAATTGGGAGCAAGTCAGCCTCCCTACAGGGGAAATCTGAATAGATGCGACTGGAGGTGGAAGCTCCCAGTGGCCTTTCAATGTCAACAAGTCATTGCCTATCATGTCTCTGTGAGGTGGGCTGAGTCGGTGAGTGGAAGTTGATCGTGGAGCAGTGGCAGTTCTTAGTTGGCGACTCGATGGAGTCCTCTTCCGTGGAACCCCTCCACGAAAAGAAGTGGGAACCGGCGAAGGTCGGATTAGTCGGGACATAGTGAGCTGGTGAGTCGCTGTCTCATTGATTGCTCCACTTGTAGTTGCTGGAACCTCAACAATTCGACCCGAGACTTGTAGATGGGCATCCTTCCCTCTTTGGCTACTTCCCTAATGCGTCCCGTTGAACAGAAGAATTGCCGACCAGGGTGGGTGAAACTGGTCCGTTCTGAATCTGTCTTCCCAGGATGATAATTATAGCGGTCCTCTCGCCTCATAGCCCGTGACATAGAAGAAGAAATGAGGCAAAAAGAGATCTGGGGACGGTTTGGAATTGTTCCTGCAACTTCGGATGTATGCTTGCTGATGGGCAGCGCGCATGTCGCGATGAACATGGCCACGCTTGGTAGTTGTCAACATTAAGTTCAATGGAGCCATAATCTTCCTTATGGGCGCATCTAAATGTATCAGTTCCGCGGTCCTGACCAGAAAGGCGAATAATCTCTGTTTAAGTCCCAAACGAAGCGTGATATCATCATCTACTGGAGGAGGCAATCATAGATGACAATCCATGTACATGAGCCGATGCCAAGTTGAGGCGAGGCGCAGCAAAACCATCTTTAATCTTCCTCAAACTAGCAAAAGCCTCATCCAGGGGCGCAGTCAGCTGAGTGATGCACCGGTCGAGGAGGAACATGATAGAACCAAAGTCTCCAGTCTTCATATCAAAACTGGATAAAATGTCATCGCCAGTACTCACATAGCCTTGAGGTCATCAGCAATCCAGATAAGTAGCTGAGGTGAGTCAACAGCATCCACACTCACATCCGAAGAGACATACTTCCTGAAGACATAGGCTTGGCGTTGTTGAGCGTAGAATCTCTTGCACAGGCACGCTGGCGTGGTCGAAATCCCTGATGACTGAGTAACAGGAGATGACACTGGCTCCTGATGCTACGCCAACACAAAGGCATCAAAGTCCATAGGTTGAGGCGTTGCCCCTCAGACACTGGATTCCAGGAAAGCGGCAAAACAGATCTGCCCGTCGAAACTGTAGCAGAAGGAACTGATGAAAGTGCCAGCAGCCCCAGAGGAAGATGAGGTATGTCGCGCGGCGAGGATGAACATACATCTGATTGAGTCGCCCACATGAGATGATGGCTTTTGTGTGAGTAGCGGCTGAGAAACCTGAGAGGCGTTGAACCATGAACCCTCCAGTAGCTTGAGATCGTGCAGCACCAGGAACACCATAAGTAAGCATTGAGCCTAGTGGCCAATGGTGAAACTTCATAATAGGAATCCCTGGGTGGCGTTGATCCAATAATACTATGAGTAAGCGCCCGAACCAGGGCTGACGTGGCAGAAGTGGCTGAATTAAAAGCAGCATGATGAAGCGTCGAACTAGTAGGAGGCGATCAAAACCCGAGGAGGCGGCCGGAGCAAGCGCATGCACCAGGAGAGCGTCAAACCCTGAACACGGAAGCAAGCGTCGAACCGGGTGGAAGCGCGCGAACCAGGATGAAGCCCGGACCAGGAGTGAGTGCAGCCAGGAGTCCTAGGAAGGGTGCCAAACCGTGCATACCATGAGCAAGCGCCGAGCCAAGACCAACATTAGTATGAGGTGCCAAACCCGGGAATCCTGGGAGAAGCGCCGAACTGGGAGGAACCATAAGGAAGCATCGAACCAGATGCGAAGCGTCAAACCAGGTTCATTGGGAGAAAGCATAAAACCATGAAGCGCCGAACCTGGAGTAAACACCGAACCAGGAATACCAGGGTTAAAGCGCCCGAACCAGTAGAGCGCCGAACTGGTAGTAAGCGCCCGAATCCATCAAAGCCACACTGGAAGAGGCGAGCTCTGAGTATGCGATGGGATCCGTGACAAGAAGCTCTGCCCGTATATAATTGTCCTAATGAGGCGTCACTCGAGGTAGCGCCCGCTCTGGTTGAAAACCGCACCGCTACCTGTAACCCGTCACTTGTGATGTAATGAGTATGAGTAGTGGCAACCTCTGACCCATTAAGGCGTTGTAGTCACATTTACCAACAAGGATGGCCATGGTTGTATGTCAGATGTGGACAAAACAACAATCGTGGAAGTGGCGAGATCTTCAAAGTAATAGAACTGGACAAATGGGGTCAGAACAGTTGAAGCACAGAAAATCTTCTTTAGGAGATTTGGATTTAGAAACGTATTGCAGATTTTGTTATTCGTACGATCTAATTTAGAACGCCGGCTCCGATGGACCTTCGATGGATTCCTCGATCTCTATCTGCCTTAGCCTGCTAGCTACCGGCTTGATACTCTGAAGAATGCATGCGTCGTCAGGTTAACACATAAAACTAGCGTTTAGACCAATTGCATCGTTCATGGCAATCCACGCCAAAGAGTTATGAGGGGTCAGCTGCCGAATAGTTACTATTACATCTATCACAATGTTTGTGTTTCTTTGAAGCGTGGTGATTGGCTTTCCCATAGTAGAAAAACACAAAGAAAAACCTCTCTTAACCACAACACCGTCCACACAGCGTGGCGACCAAAGAAAGAGAATGACCAGTAGAGGTGGTCATGTGATGGTCATTTAGGCAGGCCGCACGCTTTGATGGATGATTGACAGGCATTGATGTTATTTGGGGTGAAAGACAGAGGTCAGGGCGGAGTCAGAGAGCCAGTTAGATTTGACTCAACTTAGCTGACAGCGCGTTTCCACATGTGGTCTTAGAAGAGATGGTCTACCGTGAGATAGGATAAATTTAAAATACAGTGAAGCCCCGTTAATCGGGACTCAGATGGTCGGAAGTCTAAGAATGGTGCTTATTGCAATCTATGCCTACTTATAATTTGAGATAGGATAAGTTTAAAATATATCAGTAAAATAAACAAAATTGCTTCTCAAAGGGTTCAAGATTACTTAATGACAAAAGTGTAAAAAGCTCCCGATTTTACTAAAATGACAAAAACTTGTGATTGGTACTAAATGGGAAATGATATTCAATGATTGCAATGAATTTGATTGGCTGTATATATTAAACAAAATGACAAAATTTTTCATGATATTCTTCTGATTGACATGTATTGAAAGATGTTAACCTTCTTTATTTTCAATACACATTTCTGCAAATAGTTATTTATACTAAAATATAATTATTCAAAATGGAGACCTGACTGAAAATGATTTGTCTACCGTTAGTTTGCAATGATGTTTCACTGAGGCATTTGTTGTGCTTATTAGGACTGTTGTGAAACCATAAAATTCTGGAATGATCTCGAAATCAATTAATAACTATTTACCATGAAAAATAAACATTACAAAATATTTGATTTGGTTTGGTACATTACATAATGATGTATTACTAAATCAAATCATTATCTCTGCCAAAAAACATATCAATTTAAGTAAATCCTAAAAAAATCAATTCCAAAATTCATTAAATATAAAATGGCATCAAAGAGATATTTTCTGTTCAAAACTTTTATTTTCAAGGAAACAATGAAATTGATAAATAAATTGATAAATTCAGTCTTAAGTCTTAAATGGAATTCACTCATGCCAATATTCAGCAACAAATCCATAATTACATCTTTACACCTTTTTTCGGTGTTTGTTGTTACTGTATACCTTTGACTATAGGAACAAATAAAAAAAATACATAAAAACATGGGAATGTTAAGATACAATATGAATACACTTTGTCAAACTGATTTTAAATCATAGCTTTTTTGCAAAAGAGTAACAAGAGGGGGCACAAGAAATCTACATCCTTTTTCCCTTTCAATGGTGCATAAAATCACCCAGAAGTGTAAACATAAAGAGAACATACCATTAATCCTAAAGCATTAATGAGCACAAGTTACATAATAATGACTACGAGGAAATCTTTCCTCCTCCCTACTCTTAAAAGCTTTCCAATACCTTGTAATGCCCTTGAATTAGAAATGGTACCCTGGTACTTTTCAGTGACTGATTTTGCATTTGACAGCAAAGGCTGAAGTCATAAATTCATAATAATAATAATCATAATAATGTAGCATTCATCAGTCCTTTAATGTTTGTATGATGCTGTACCTTTCTTTATAATTGACTCTGCATTATAATTAACATCAGACTACTCAGCTGTACCATAAAGCTAGTCTACAAGACTGGCTACCTCCTGGTCACCTGACTCAACATAGGGATTTTTCCTGGGGATCTATTTTCACCTATATAGATGCAGCACTGTTGTATGACATGGGATAACAGATGTGCCCACTTGCCTAATTAAATGCTAAATCTAAAAATTCAACGAATTGCCCTGCATACAGTTCAGATTGCTCCTCTTCACAGCAAGAATAGGCATCAACTGAATTCAAAGCTTTCCTCAACAAACTGTTGATCTGGACTGGGGCAACCCAACATGGGATGGTATGGTGAACAACCTGTAAACATATGAAGTTATTTATACACACAAACATTTTTGTTTTAATGCCATAATATAAATAATAACTGCATCCATGTGTTATGTTTTCTGGTAACCATGAAGGGATGCACAAAATAGACACAGATGTTGAGATTTAACTTAAAAATGCCTTATTTGACAATTGAGGTTAAAATGTAACATCAAAACAGAAAAGTCTAACTACAGTATATAACACTGCCAAAGAGGAGCATACCTGTTAAGGTGTCATGACAGTGAAAGATGTGAACTGTCAAATACATTGATTCACTCAATGGAAAAATATAAATACATCTTCAGCCATGCATGTTACCAAATGGGAAACTAGCAAAATATCTCTATAATCCTAACAAAAGTGGGGTCAATTGTCTGATTGTGACTATGGCATACAGTGTTCATGAATTACTACCAGTTTATTGTGGTGGTACCAACAGTTCAAAAAAAAGCTGAGCATATATTGCCTGACCAGTGAGTGGGAACCTGCAAGTCCAATACATCTGTTCTGTGTTTGTGGCTCTGCCCTAACGTTGATATGTTCCAACTTACACCAACAATAATTTCCTTCATATCAAGCATCAGGAAGATGCCTTTTACATCTATGACCTTAACCATGGACATGACCTTTATAGATTACATATCATATTCCAGATCCCATATATGTTATTTTGTTATTTATCTCCTACTCTTCCCTGATATTAGGGATGATGAGTTAAGACTTATGACAATTATTGTTCCCATTTCAATGCATAATTAGTAGTGTTGGGAATTGGTTAAAAATTGCTCATTGGTCCATTACAACCGATCAATCATAGAAAATAATTGGTTAGGATCATTTATCAAAATGTTCTCCATTTCTATATTTATACCATTACATCCTTTACAAATCATTTACATGTAAAACTTTGGGTTTCAACGAGTGTAGAATGCTGCACAAAATACATTTCATCCATTTAGGAATACGGCTTCAGGCTGGTTGGTATGAGAACATGAGTACAGAATAGCACTTTGAGATAAATTAAAATATGGCTTTGGGCAAGCTTGCAAACACGGTATACGGAAATATAAATATAATGACTCGCGAACCAGTAAACGCTATGGCATCATTTAAATACGAAACAGTGAACTACGGCAGCTTCTTATCATTTGAATTTTAGAAAGAAACGGCTTTCCAGACGCTTGATGATTTAGTGCGCTCGAACGTTCTTGATTACCATTAAATGGGGCTTACACCGCTAATCGTACGCTTTCCATGAGCTCAGAGCCTTGGTCGACTAGTGGCATTCTTGGATTTCCCCATCCATGCTCAGGGTAGATGGAGTTGATCCACAAAGTCAATGGTATATTTTGCTTACTGGTGTTTTCTGTATCAGGTTTCAAATTTGCTTCATTAGGAATTTAGGATAACAATTACCCTGTCACTTTACTTATCAGGCAGCTCCTGTGTACAGATTCCTAAGAATTTTCCAGCATAATGCCCGGTTTTATCAATATAAATGTTCTTATATTTTCAGATTTCGGATCCCTATGAACCAACAAATAAGCTGTAATAGAATTTGTGGATATGACATTAAGAAGTCCAGACTGAGGGAATCACTATTTTTCCTGTCACCCATCAATGAATTTCCAATCCTGTATTTTTCCACTTAGACAGAGGTTGTGGATTTCTTTTCAAGGTAGAAATCCAAACTTGTTCATTTCCACACAAAAAATGATAAAACTTGACAATCCTACTTTTTCTGGAGAATGTCACCTCCTTCAAGTTTAATCTAAGGCAGTCATGATGTCATTTGAAATAACACCATTGCTTCTATTTCTTGAAGGTTGTGCCTGAAATGCATCATAAATCCATCATTAAGGTTCAATTGTATCTGCTTATGTTTGTTTCTATTTTATCTCACATTATGTGATTAATGTTAATAATGTTATATAATTTATTGAGTCATCTTACAAAAGTTATTAACAAATGTATACACAATACAAAAGTCACCCACGCAAGGGACCCTCTTTATTCTATCTGGAGTGTTATTCCACAAAAAAATGAAAAGAATAAAGACCAAACCAAACTGAGGTAAAACATATATTTTAATGTGGTTGCCTCATCAACGATAAGATTACTCTTTAGAGTTTATTTGGAGTAAACATACTGACAGTATGGTACAATGAACATATCACTGCACAATAGATTATAACATAATAAACACATATAGAAACACATAAACAGTCACTGAACACTATATTAATGCACACCATTATTAACATACCATATCAAGATGTAATCACACCCAAATAGTTCAGCTGCTGCCTATTCTTAATATGTGGCTGATTATGAATTAGAGACAAATGAGACACTAACATGACTAACAATTATCTTCTAACTAAGAAACAAAGGCTAGGTTCTGTACTTACTAAGTTAGGATGGATTACTTGTTGAAGTGATAGTACATCTCAGTGATGTATTAATGGTAATCATAATAATTATTAAGCCTTTTAAAATGGAAAAGAAACATATATTATCCAAGTCCTTCAAATCCATTAAAATCCTTTCTTCAATATACATAATAATTGTCAAAACATATCACATTTATACAAGTTGTACACATGAATCCATGTTATATGCAAGAGATTACACTTTCTCAGTAAAATACACACATTCTAGACATGTTTGGGGTTCAGTCCCATCCAGGATTTTAACCGACTCTCTCCACCAAATAAGCCAACATACAAAGTCAGTGATCTAGCCAACTCAGCTGTGAACATAATTATATTGTCAGACTTTCACCACACCTAGTCGAATACATCAAAATGGCCTTTGGTCCAAAATGTGTTTACATGCTCTAACATTGAACAGAGTAAATGACATGGCAACTAAATAATATTTCACATGTGGTAGTCTCCAAAGCAGTTTGCAAAAGAAAATTATTTAGGTGATAAACAGCTGGTGCTTCCTTTTCATATATTTTGCTGTAATCTTCAGGTTATTATAAATATGAAATATGAAATGCATACTTACATGCACTTACATGTTGCATGAAATATCACTAAACTACTTAAGTCAATAATGCCTTGTCTTCCTATGTGATGTTTATAGGTGTACTTATGACCCCTTCTGCAGCTGCCCTTAAGCGTACAGAAAGGTCTTAATGTTGAAAAAAATGGAGACATCTGCACTAGGCAAATCTGTGATTTATGTACTGTATGTGTACATGTGAGTGAGAGAGTGAATTTAGTTTTTATGCATAATTAGCAATATTCCAACAATATCCGGCAGGGGACACCAGAAATGGGCTTCATCCATGTGGGGAATCGAACCTGGGAACCATGCCCACTGTATATGTGTACATATCACTTAAAAAAATATGTCACTTAAATTTTTTTAAGAATTGGATGAAGCTTCAATACTTTTCCCTGTCCAACATGTCTATATGGCTGAGATACAGAGAGTTTTGTTACACTGAAAGACCTGTAAGAGATAAATTATGTCTATTTCATTAATGTTTTGCAAAATGTATTTCTGCATTAATATAGAATGTTTTATAATCATTACAGATACCATGGGAGTTTATTCATTTGTCACAAAAAAGAGTGTCATGGGATAATTTCCACATAACATCATATTTCGAATGACAGAAAATCTTTAAACCTCAAAACTAGTAACTATGCAGCTTCCTGTTCATTAATGGTCAGTTGTTTGCCTTCCTCTGCTGACATCATCAAATCATAGCAGAGTCTGCTACATTAATAGAATATGGTTTTGATATTCATGACCTGATGTGATTGAAATAGTTTAAAACTGTTTCAACACACCTCCTGCATTGTTTATATTGTAAACAAACAACTGTCAGGTTTGATAAACCATTTATGAGAGGAGGCTAACACCAGTGTCCTGATCTTTAATTTATCCCCAAAGTCATTAGTGTAAGCATCTTTGATGTAGGCTGGTGATCTAAGTGGAGAGGAATCAGAAACATTGTTGAAAGTTAGAAAGCACAGAATTCAGGCCAGAAATTGGCCAGGGTCACCATAAACAGCTTTAAAGTCCTGACATATGTAAGGCTGAATAATGAATTTTGCCAGAAAGATGATATAAAGTAAAGGGGTTGGAATATGCCTAGCAATGTGAAACACTGACCAAAGAACCCTACTGCCTGTTAAAAGCCAAGAAATTGAAATTTCAACAGATGAAAGCTCTTTGAGACCACAGCATGAAACGAAATTACACATGAGTCTATCAATTCATCAAGCTAAGACTTCAGAAATACTTCCATGAAATAAAAAAAATGCCCAAAAGTGATTATTATTCATCAGAAATATCTAATGGATGAGGTTTGAGATACAGCCTTCACTGGACTGGGGCACTTAAATGTACTGTATGTACCTACATGTTCAAAGTACCACAACTTGTTCAAGGTGGTAGAGGATATCAAGGTGAAAGGAGGGTGCACACACTGCCAACATCAGACCGACTTGTTGAAACACAACATTGGATGTGAAGGCTTCTGATTCTGCTGTATGTGCAAAGATACACCTCCCAGTCACCATCAGTCATTCTCCAAGCTGAAAATAGTGTCAAGATCATATTAAATGTTCAATCATAAAAAGACCATAACAGCCATGAGACAGTTTTGAGAAACTAAATAATTGTTTGAAAGTCATGAGAGAAAAAAGTTTATTCATATGCAAAAGGGTGTAACAGAAAGAATGGATCATATGCAACACTGTTTACTTAAAATAAGAGGGTTTTGTGACATATTGTGCCATCAGCAGTGAACACATTTCATACTCACAATACTCATATCATATGACTTTACACACAGACACCCAAATTGTGTCAGTGGTGACTTTTATCTAATTTGTTGTCAATTCATCGGTTTCAACAAATTTAGAAGCCAGAGTAACTATTACCATGTGGGCTCTTGTCACTGTTAGACCACAAATCGAGGCTACA